GAGGTTGTATATGCTCTAAATTAGCATCCAATATATGGTGCTGTTTCTTCCAGGATTCAGGAATCAAGGGCTGGAAATGGGAGTGGCACCACTCACTATTACCTCTAGTGATCTACAATTTTTGCTTCCTGTCTCTGTGACCTTAACCCCTGCTGGTCTTGAGGTCTTGGTGGCTCTCTTCAATATTGTCATTGGGCATTGGTGAGGCGTTTCCATCTGCAAACCTGAGTCTTCCTTGAAGGGTGGCAGATCATGGAATTATTTGTAGAATGGGGAGTCTGGAAGAATTTCTGCATAATATGGAACAAATTACTTAGCCATTTTGAGTAAAGTTTCTTCATTTGAAAAGCATGACTAATAATATGCCTCCTTCAGAGGATTGTTTTTTCTAATTTATTTTTTATTGAGGTAACATTGGTTTATAACATTATATAAATTTCAGGTGTACATCACTATATTTCGACTTCTGTATAGACAACATCATGTTCACCACCAAAAGTCTAGTTGCCATCCATCACTGTCCAGATGTCCCCTTTTACCCATTTTGCCCTCCCTCCACCTCTGTTGCCCTCTGGTAACCACCAATCTGTTTTCTGTATCTACGTGTTTGTTGCTTGTTGTTGGTTTTTTATCTTCCACATATGAGTGAAATCATAGGGTATTTGGTTTTCTCCATCTAACTTATTTTGCTTAGCGTAATACCCTCAAGTTCCATCCACGTTGTCGCGAATGGCAAGATTTCATATTTTTTATGGCTGAGTAGTATTCCATTGTGTGTATGTATATACCACATCTTCTTTGTCCATTCATCCATTGATGGGCACTTACGTTGTTTCCAAGTCTTGGCTATCATGAATAATGCTGTAATGAACATAGGGGTGCATATATCTTTTCTAATTAGTGTTTTCATGTTCTTTGGATAAATATCCGGTAGTGGAATAGCTAGATCATATGGTAGTTCTATTTGTAATTGTTTGAGAAATCTCCATACTGTTTTCCTTAGTGGCTGCACCAGTTTACATTCACACCAGCAGTGTATGAGGGTTCCCTTTTCTTCACATCCTCTCCAGCACTTGTTATTTTTTGCCCTTTAATAATAGCCGTTCTGACATGTGTGAGGTGATATCTCATTGTGGTTTTGATTTGCATCTGTAATAATTAGTGATGTTGAACATCTTTTTATATGCCTGTTGGCCATCTGTATATCTTCTTTGGAAAAATATCTGTTCATATCCACTACCCATTTTTCAATTGGGTTGTTTGTTTTTTTGTTGTTGACTTGTATGAGTTCTTTATGTATTTTGGATATTAACTCCTTATTGGATGTATGATTTGCAAATATCTTCTCCCATTTGGTAGGTTCTTTTTTCTCAGGATTTCCATGGCTATTTGGGGTCTTTTGTTGTTCCATATGCGTTTTAGGATTCTTTGTTCTATGTCCGTGAAATCTGCCATTGGGACTTTGATAGGGATTGCAATGAACCTGTAGATTGCTTTAGATAATAGGGACATTTTAACTACGTTAATTCTTCTAATCCATGAGCATGGAATATCTTTCCATTTCTTTGTGTCTTCATTGATTTCTTTCAACAATGTTTTATAGTTTTCAGTGTACACGTCTTTTACCTCCTTGGTTATTTATTCCTAAGTTTTTTATTCTTTTTGTTGTGATTGTAAATGAGATTGTGTTCTTGATTTCTCTTTCTGCTAGTTTGTTGTTAGTGTATAGAAATGCAACTGATTTTTGTGTCTTGATTTTGTACCCTGAAACTTTACTGTATTCATTTATTATTTCTAATAGTTTTTTTTGATGGATTCTTTAGGGTTTTCTATATATAAAATCATGTCATCTGCAAATAGTGACAGTTTTACTTCTTCCTTTCCAATTTGGATCTCTTTTGTTTCTTTTTCTTGCCTAATTGCTCTGGCTAGGACTTCCAATACTTTGTAGAATAAGAGTGGCAAAAGTGGGCATCCTTGTCTTGTTCCTGTTCTTAGAGGCATAGCTTTCAGTTTTTCACCATTAAGTATGATGTTAGCTGTGGGTTTGTCGTATGTAGCCTTTATTATGTTGAAGTATTTTCCTTCTATACCCATTTTATTGTTTTTATTATAAATGGATGCTGACTCTTGTTTAATGCCTTCTCTGCATCTATTGAGATGATCATGTGATTTTTATTCTTCATTTTTTAATGTGGTGTATCACATTAATCAATCACATTGATTGATTTATGAATGTTGAACCATCCTTGCAAATCTGAAATAAATCTCACTTGATTGTGGTATATGATCCTTTTAATATATTGTCATATTCAATTTGCTAATATTTTGTTGAGGATTTTTGTATCTATGTTCATCAGTGATATTGGCCTGTAATTTTCCTTTTTTGTGTTGTCCTTGTCTGATTTTGGTATCAGGGTAGTGTCCTCATCAAATGTGTTAGGAAGCATCCCAGCCTCTTCATTTATTGGAAGAGTTTCAGAAGCATAGGTATTAAATCTTTGAATGTTTGGTAGAGTTTACTGGGGAAGCCATTTTGTTTTTTGAGAGGTTTTTGATTATTGTTTTGATCTCCTTAGTAGTGATTGGTCTTTTCAGATTCTCTATTTCTTCTTGATTCAGTTTTGGAATGTTGTAGAATTCTAAGAATTTATCCATTGCTTCTAGGTTACCCAGTTTGTTGGCATATTGCTTTTCATAGTATTCTCTTATAATCCTTTGTATTTCTGTGGTATTGTTATAATTTCTCCTATTTCACTTCTGATTTTATTTATTTGAGCCTTCTCTCTTTTTTTCTTAGTGAGTCTACCTAAAGGTTTGTCAATTTTGTTTATCTTTTCAAATAACCAGCTCTTATTTTCATCAATCTTTTCTATTATCTTTCTAGTTTCTATTTCATTTATTTCCATGCTAATTTTCATTATTTCCTTCCTTCTAGTGATTTTGGGCTTTGTTTGTTCTTCTTTTTCTAGTTCCTTTAGGTGTAAAGTTAGATTGTTTTATTTGATATTTTTCTTGTTTCTTGAGGTAGGCCTGCATTGCTATAAACTTCTTCTTAGTACCACTTTTGCTATATCTCATAGATTTGGGTATGTTGTATTTTCATTTTCATTTGTCTCCAGGTACTTTTTGATTTCTGATTTCTTTGTTGACTTAATGGGTGTTCAGTATCAAAGGATTATTTTGAAGTTCAGATGAGGTGATACATGCAGAGTACATACCATGCTGCTCAGACCTGGTACACATGTTTGCACTAAATTTTGTTACTGTCTCTTCTGTTTGGGGAACTTTTCTCCTGTGATCACTTGAGTTCTTTCTTTCTTGCTTGTATTCCATAGTTTGATTCTGAAATTCTTTTAATATATTCTCTTTATATGCTCTGCATCCTTTAGCATTTTAATCATTATTGTCATTTTTTTCATCTTTTTTCCTGAGTTCTGGGAAAATTCTTAAGCCAGTGTTCTAAGTCACTAGTTTTTCTGTTTACCTCTCACTTTAGGGCTTTTATTGAGCAATTGTAGTTTTTATCTGAAAGCAAGCTTTTATTATTTTAGATTGTTTAATTTTCACACAAGTAGTCTCCTTTTTGAAAATAGAAAAATGCATTTCTACTATAAAGTAGTGCATATTCACTGTAAAAATTTAGATTAATAAAATAGCCACTGCTAGCATTTTGATGAATACTTGCCAGAGTTTTTATTATATGTTTATATATAATGTATGTATGTTCATATATAGGATGAAGGATCTCCCTATAATGCTCTTATTATCTCCTTTATAATTTAATAATGTAACATATTTATGTCAATAAACATATATATTATCCTTTTAAAAGATAAAATGATGTTCTCTCGGATTTCATTTAAAATACAAATAGGAGTTTTTAAAGTATTCTTCGCTCTTATAGAAAGGAAAACATTTGCTGTGATTTCTCAGAATGGTCTCCTCTTGTGAAGTACTGGATATTTTTATATATCTAGTGATTGTTTTTCCTGTTTATTCATATTTACAAGGGGAGGTTTATGTTTGCTATGTTGGAATTTGAAAAGGATTCTGTCAGAAATTGTGTAAGCCCCTGTTCAGTTGTCTTGGTCATAGCAAGATAAGTAGTCCACATGACTTTGAGTGGTAGTGAGGGGCTGTTGGTGAGACCACTGCGTGGCAGGGAAGGTGCCTCCTTTGCTGAGTGCGTTTATTCTCTGTGTGGGAGCCGCGGTGCAGCCAGAGCTCCAGATGTCTATGTAAAGTGAAAAAGGAGCTCCTGGGCCAACAGAGTGTATTATTGAGCCAAGTAGCTGGTTTTCCCCTCTCATATTTGTTGTAGTAGTCCATGTTAGATAAGTCCCACGTTACTTGGAGCAAATTCCCTTTGTAGCATCCTTTTGCCACAATGTCTTTGCTTTGGTTAGCATGCCACTCCACCAGGTGAAAGCTGAGGATGGACATAAAAGATGACTGCCTTGTGTGGGGGCATTGCTAGAATTCCCTTAATCCTAGGATTTGTATCTGATCAACTATCACAGTCTTGTCTTCTTTCTTCCCCCTCGCCCCTGCTGCTCTGGGTTGCAAGTTCTCTGGATTTGTAGGAGAAGGTCATTCATTTGCTCCCTCAGAGGGCTCCTCCTTTGTTGTGTTCAGTTGCAGACTAGTAGGTTCCTTCCTTGGCCTAATCCTGCTTGTGCCATATCTAACAGAAATCTTTCAAAGTGTCTGGATACTGATGGCGTCCTTCTATGTTTATTGGAAACTGATTTAAAAATATAAAAAACAAAGAACTCCCCTAATTGTATATTTCTTAGATCATGCCAGTAGGTTTTGGGGAGGGAAGAATTTAAATTCATGGACTCAAATAAACCTTTCGAAAAGAAACTTCTATGCCATCTTCTCCACTGGTCAAAGAGATAAATGGGTTTACCTGTGTGACATGCTTTGATGAAATTTGGGTGTATTGCATCTCCCACTTTTCCTTTATCTACCAGATATTTCTGTTTTTGTAATAGATGATTCAACACGTGTTCCTCTTGGAGAAAACAAGGATTACATCAATGCTAGTTATATTAGAATAGTCAATTCTGGAGAAGAGTATTTTTATATTGCTACCCAAGGACCACTACCAGCTACCACAGATGACTTTTGGGAGATGGTTTTGGAAAATAACTCTAATGTTATTGTCATGATAACCAGAGAGATAGAAGGTGGAATTATCAAATGCCACCATTATTGGCCCATTTCTATGAAGAAGCCTTTGGAATTGAAAAGCTGTCATATCTTCCTGGAGAACTACCAGATACTTCAATATTTCATCATTCGAATATTTCAAGTTGTGAGGAAGTCCGTAAGTTTTAAAAAATCATTATTAGATATATATATTGCATTATATAAACATGTGTCAGGATAAGAAGTTAGCGATAGGATAGGATTTAGACTGGGGATTCTTTTTTAAGTAACTTATTTTTACTTCTCCCTCATACCAGAAACTAAGATAACACCATTTCTGCTTCTCCTTATCCAAACTCTGACTGGAGAGATGAAAAAATTGAAACAGGGAGGTAGTGAGGGGGAGTGAGTATTGGAAGTTGCCTAATCCTGGGATATACTTCGGCTACTTCTGCCATGTATGACAGATACGTATTGAGTCCTTAAGGTATGCCAATCACTGTGCCAGGCACCATCACTTCTTACTGAGTAGTGGAGAGTTTGGTGCACTCATTGGTACTTCCAGTTACTGTGCTCAGTGGTAATATTGAGATCTGTATGGGGTACTTTGGGGGCTTGGAAAGGAAGTGTACTTAGCTTTATTTGGGGTTTTTGGGAAGGCTTGCTGGAGGAGGTGACATCTGGTTTGAGAATTACCCAAATGAGAAAGATGGAAAGAGGAAGTAGATGATCAAGATATAAAATAGCATAGGGTATGTATAGCAAATAAGTAGTCTATTTTTGGAGTGTAAAAGTTCAATGCTAGGGAGTAATGAGAGATGAAATGAGGCTACAGAACATAAGCAGGGACCAGCCAGAACATGAAATGTCTTGGATTTCAGCTAAGGAGCATGAACTTTATTATGAAGATAATTGAGAGACATTGTAAGAAGGCAGCATGATCAACTAGGGCAGTTGGCATTGAGATGGAAAGCAGAGACTTCGGTATTTTTCAGATAAAACAGGAGGACTTATATGTGACTTATGACTTGTGACTTATGAGTGATAGAAGGAGTAGTCAAAAATTATGCTATCCAATATGGTAGCCACATATGGCTATTTAAGTTTAAATTTAAATTATTTAAATTTACATAAAATAAATTCAGTTCCTCACTTGCAATAGCCACATTTCTAGTGTTTAGTCACATGTTACTAGTGGCTACCATTTTGGGCATCACAGATCTAAAACATTTGCATCGTTGTAGAAAGTTCTATTGGGAAGTGTTGGTCTAGAATAATTCATAGATTTCTTGCTCTAATAGATTCGGAAAATAGAAAAGGAATGGGTTGTAGGAGAAAGTGATGAGTTACATTGCTCTAAGTGGATTTAATTAGTAGGTAGGTGATACATGTGTTCAACAGGAATGAAGGGGGTGGGAGTTAAACAAGAAGCTTAAAAAGAGTGACGAGGTTTGGAGTCATCACCAAAGGAGTTGATTGGGACACAGACAATGCCCAGGAAAAGGGTTGCTGGAGGTTGGAACCCATAAATTTGCAATAGCAATAAAATATGCAACTGTGTGATTATTTTCTTCCCAGCAGCCTAACTATGGGATTCCTGAACACAGGTTGTGGGACTGACCCAGGGTGGGATATTGTCCAGTACAGGTGGCAAGATTCAAAGGATGAAAGTTGACAGTTTGATGAGAGAATGATTCACATAATCAGCCATGAAGTCTGAATTTAGGGAGGTGAATGGAATCAGGGGCCAGTCAACTAGGAGTAAATGGGAGGACATGAAGGACGGGAGAGCTCTGTTTCGTCACATTGTTGTTGGAGTTGAAGTGAAGCACAACTGAGGTGGTAGCATACGAGCTCCTGGTCAGAAAGTGATGTTGGAGTTTAAGAACTGGAAGAGTTTTGATACTGGATATTGCAGGTGATGGTAAGTCCAAGGAGTGATCATCATTGTGAGGACTGGAAGAAAGGAGTGGTCTCCTCTGCAAGAGAGAAATAAAAATGCTGTGATGTTAGAGTGTCTGTCGGGCTGTTGAAACCCTGAGTTTGGGCTGGATGATGTCAGAATCTGTGGTAGGGAAAGGGTCGGGATCTTCAGTGAATATGGCGATCGACTAGGAGGTTTAACCGCTGGGTGGTAGCACTGAGCACATGAAGCTAAGAAGTATGAATAGGATTTTTTATATAAGGAGAAGGAGTACTGAATTGGAAACAGGGGTGGGCAGCAAAGGGTATGCAACCTAATCTCTATGCTCTGTGGTACCTGGAGCACAGGAGAATAGTGGCCCATTTAGAGAGGGCTGCAGAGTGAAGTGCCTGTGGGAGGCAAGGCAAGGAAGTGGAAGAAGCATTTAGGGAAATGATGAGGGTTTCCAAGAGTTTACTCTAGGATGGGGGACCTGAGTGCAAGAAGCTGAAGAGATGGAGGAGTGGGGGGGTGGGGAGGATAGAAAAGGGGAGTATGAGGAGGGTTGGAGGAGTACAAGGAGGACTGGAGAGTGGTGACGAGGGAGGCCAAGCATAATCATAATGGCTGACATTGATGGAGAGCTTGCTGGCTGTGTGCTCGGCACTGTGCTTGCTCTGTACACCTGGGGATTCGCCTGGTCCCTCACTCTCCCTCACTCTCCTAATATTTATTGATCCCCTCCTATTAACCAGGTGTTGTGCCAGGTGCTTGAGACATAAAGCAGACACAGTCTCAACTCTTAGAGTACTTACAGTCTAGTGGAGAAGGAAGACACCAAACACATCAGTTCCAAATGACGTGTGATACGTGCTGTGGCAGGAGAACAGCATGCTTTGAGAATATAGGCCAGGTGGGAGGCCCAGAGAAATGATCTGCCTGCAAGGATTCAAATGCTGGAGTCCACCTGTAGAGGCTTGGCAAGGGGTCTAGGATGGTGGCCTTTGGGCTGAGGCCCACAAGCCTCAGAACCATGAAGTTTATGTTTGGAGAATCTGCATCAGGGGTTCTGCCTTCATGGCACTGGGTCAGGAAGGCAGTGAGGGCCCCTTTTGGGCAATTTCTCAGTGGTCATGCAGTGGCAGGAGAGATTTAACCCCTGAGTCATGTGATAGGGTGAGAGCTATCCTCAACTTGGTACCTTCACAAGATTTTCAAGTATTATTTTCATCATTCAATTTTATGTACCAATGAATCAAACTTGAGTTTTCTACTTTTAACATAGGAAAACTTATTTCTATTTGGAATTTAGGAAAACTTTTTTTCATTTGGAATTTGGGAAAAAGAGATGCATTAGGGAGAGGCAGAGGAGTAAGAAACTCTTGAGTTTCCTCACGAGGGTCCCCAGTGAAGTAAAATGAGGCTCCACACTGGGGAAGGGTAATCTCTTTGGAAGTGATGATGGGTGAACTGTCAACCCTGAAGAGAGTTCCGTGACTCTGCTTCCAGGAGGCTCAGCACAAGAGTGGGGGCCAAAGGCCACTCACACGGTCATTTAACCACCCCGTCATCATCAGAGCAGGCTGGTGCCCCCTGGTCAAGCAACATGACAGCAGCTACCTGTTTTAAAATTAAATTAAAATTAAATTTTAATTTTACTTAAATTTTAAAATTCCAAAATTAAATTTAGGGTCATAATATTTAAGCTAAGATAGATTGCTTTTCTTTCTTATTCTTAACGTATTAGCCCATCTTTCCCTCTCAGTTGTTTGGATTCCTGGTTCTTCTGCAGCCTCATGGTGCAGAAGAGAGACAGTAGATTTGGATTCAGGAGGCTTACAGTATAGTCCCCACTCTAAACATGTGAGCCTTCTGACCTAGCACACATCTCTCAGTCACCCCAATCCTTTCCTTTTAATCTGTAAAATGAGGATAAAAGAGTGCCTACTGCCCAGGGTTGATGGGAGGATTATAGGAGATAATGCATGTGAAGTCCTTAACACAGTACCTGGCACATGATAAGTGCTCAATTCATGTTACCTGTCAGTATTCTTACTTTTATTATTGTATTACCATATAGCCATTATTATTATTATTATTTTATTATTGGTATATCAGAATTGAAATGAGATCTCTAATGTAAGAAGTTGATAAATCTCTCTTCTCTCTCTCCCCTCCATCTTTCCCTCCCTCTCTCTCTCTCTTCTTTCTCTCCCTCCCTCTCCCTCCCTCTGTTTCTCTCCCTCCCTCCCTCTCTTTCTCTCCCTCCCTTTCTCCCTCCCTCTCCCTCCCTCTCTTTCTCTCCCTCCCTCTCTCCTCTCTCCCTTTCTCTTTCTCTCAACAGACAGAAACTCGGCACTCTGTAAAACACTTGCAGTTCACCGACTGGCCAGACCATGGCACTCCTGCCTCAGTAGATGCTTTTATAAAGTATATTCGTTATGTGAGGAAGAGCCACCTTACCGGACCCCTGGTTGTTCACTGCAGTGCTGGTGTGGGCCGAACAGGGGTGTTCCTATGTGTGGATGTTGTGTTCTGTGCCATTGAAAAGAACTTTTCAGTAAGTGTGTGAATTAAGCAGATAAACCAATGCTGTTGGTAAACACTCTACTTTTAACAGCCTTCTAATATCTGAAGACTAATATTTGTCCTTCAAGAGCAACTTAGTAAATAGAAAGCACGTGAGTTTTGGGTACCTGCTTCTCACTTAACTGCTGCAGGTTCCTGGAGGTGGTTGTGAGAATTAAAGTACATTATGCAAAGGAATGGCTTAGGACCGTGTCTGGAGCATAGTATGTACACAGTAACGTGAGTTCATTTTCCTTTTCCTTCCCTCCTCCACACAGACAGTTTTTAGAGTCTTGTTAGAGAGTGTTGATGAAGTGTACCTGTTTTTACTGAACAGAAATACACGCGTGTGAACACACTGGGAAAAGGGTAGACTTGAGAGTTAACGAGAGGCCACTAGATTTGACTGCCAGCTTTGCCACATACTTGAGATTTCGGTGACTTTGTGCAAAGTGCTTATCCTCTCTGAAGCCCAGGTTTCTCATATGTAAAATAAGGATAATAATATTGTTGGTTTTGAGTCAATTAACAATTCTTCATTTTCCTCCTAAATTTGGAGCCAGCTAAGAGATAGACACGAGAATTACACACATGGTGATTGTGCTAGTACCTTTATTGTTGATTAAACTGATTAGGGAATGTGACTTCAGTTCTGTGGCCAAAAAGGCTTACGTACTAAACCGTTTCCCTGTGCTGTGAAAGTGAGGAGGGGAGACATCTGTTTACTTAGCAGGCATAAGGGGACAGGTGGCTCTTACCGTGACCACAAGGATACAGAAATCCACACCTCAGTCATAGGAAAACGGGCGACGAGGCATTTGCCCTGGTAGGCGAATGCTGCAGAGTTATGCTGTTGTCAGAACAAAAGTTAAATCTCTGCTGTCTCCGGCTTTACATAGTCATTCCCCGACAGTGAGAGGCTTTCCCCGCAAAATGGCTGCCTCAGTTCCAGAACTCCCCATCCTCATGCCATGTTGTGTGGGAGGGTACAAAAATGGCCTCTCCCAGTAACTCCCTGTAGGACAGGGGGTGTTTCTTTTTCTCAGAAGCTTGAGCCAGTATCTCCTAGCATTTCACTGTTTCTCACTGAAGCCCTTCCCTGAGCTCACCACTGTGGGTGATGCTGGTCCAGTTAGGACCACTCCAGGCCATAAGGCTAAGAATGAGAAAGGAATGTTTTCCAGAACAAACTCAGAGTTTTATTCCTAAGAATGAACGTAAACTGGGTGGTCAAAAAAAAAAAAAAAATAGACCTCCTCAAAAATGCTGAAAATTTAGGTAGTATGAGTCTGATGTTATCTATTCCCATAACTGATGTTGTTTTATTCTTTTAGCAGAAAATGTATTAGCATAATTTTTCTTTTATATATTCTCCATCATAATTTCTTAAAATAATTTGTTTATATTTGTCCTTATTTTATATCCCTTCAAAAACTGTAAGTATTATATTTCCTGAGTCCAAGGAACACTGTTTTTTTCCACATTATACCTTCTTTAAACTCAAAATGTGTCTTATAATAAGTTAGCTGTCAGTTTAATTGACAGTGTTTTTCTTAGTGGTACGTAAAATAATGATGCATCTTACAATTAAGGATGCTTAGATTTGATGAAATATAGTGGTTCAAAAATACGAAATACATCCGTTGTTTCCTTATTCGCTTTCCATAGAGATTTGAACTGTCAAATGTTCTTACTGATGCCCCTCTCTACTCTTTTCAAAAATTTTGTCCACCAGAGCTACTAAAAAATGATCTTGGACCAACACCAATCTGTGGATGTTTGTTGTCTGCAGCAAGAGTTTATAGAAATTGAGAGTGAGCATTTAGAAACTTTCAAAGCAGTTTGGTGTATTGCTGTGACATCCAAGAGCATGACAGTGGGTTGGTCTTGTTGAAGAGGGTGTAGACCAGTTTGTGTGGTGTGGAACTCACGTGGGAGTCTTACACGCTGCAGGCTGCATACCGGTCATGTGCGGCTGGAGAAGTTGTGACCTATGACATTTTAAGATTAGTTTATCAATTACAACGCTAAAGGATATGAAAATCTAAGAATGTGTAACCATTTATTTCTTTTTATTAATTGTTATTTTTATAGCCATTTTCATTTTTAATCAAGCCTCCTCAAAAATCCTTGACACGTTGGGAACAAACTGGCTCTTATCTTGCAGAAACACAGATTGCTCTGTAGTTCAAACATTCTCAGTAGAACTTTCCCCTCTAACTGTCTTTAGCATGTGATAACATTTGTTAATTAACAGTTACCACATTATCACATAATGAAGTGAATAATCTAAAATTTAACATATTAGCCTTTACATACTTAAAAAGTCTTACTGCACCACTAAGTACACTGTTGAGTTCATCGGGCGGGGTTTTTTTGTTTCGAGACTTGGTTGATGAGGCAGTGTGTTGATCTATCTTCTGGCCTAAGTGCCTTGATCTCTGCACTCCCTCAGGCTGTGTTCTTGTCCTTGCAGCTCCACCGCCAGAACATGATCCTACACAAAGCTGAAGCTCCAGACACTTGTGACAATGTAGTACTTTTCATTTTTATACAGTTTAGACCTAATTGTGTTTGTCAGTAATCAAACTGAATAAAGGAAGAATTCTTCCTTCTTATCACATCATGTTCAAATCACACATACACTGAAAGAATCACTATGTTAGCAAAATCTATGCATTCATTAAGTTGCAGTGGTAAATACTTTGCCACTTTTTTGTTTTTCTTTATTTGCTGAAGAAGATGAGCCCTGAGCTAACTTCTGTTGCCAATCCTCCTCCTTTTGCTGAGGAAGATTAGCCCTGGGCTAACATCCATGCCCATCTTCCTCTACTTTATATGTGGGACACCTGCCACAGCATGGCTTGATGAGTGGTGCGTAGGTCCACACCCGGGTTCTGAACCTGCAAACCCCAGGCCGCTGAAGCGGAGTGTGCGATCTTAACCACTATGTCACCAAGCTGGCCCCAGTACTTTGCTACTTTTATTTGTTTCCGAAATTGATACCACTCCATATCATTAGCCAGTCCCTGAATTTGTCAAACTGTGGTGTCATTAGAAAGTGGTACTTTATCTTTTTTTGCCACATATTTACCCAAAATTTCCAAGAAAACATGCTTAGTGCAGTCTTTCACCATTGTCCTGGCAATCATATATGGAGTTTTAGTCTTAGCAATTCAAAGTGCTATTTTGTAAGCCTGCCAAGCATTATTGTTACATGTGAAATATTGAACATCAGCTTCTGTTGGCTTTTTAATTTAATATGCTTTAAAATAATTCTTTTGTCTTTGAACTTATTTCATTTTTTATGTAAATGACAAGTAAATTTTAATGATTCCTTTGCTTTGTTAGCCAGTACATCTTTGTAAGTTACACAAGTGTGGTTTTAGCAATTCACAATCAATAATGGCTACAAAACTCAATATGTGAGGAATCATAATTCCAGGTAAAATTAACGTGAATGGTATACCCATTCTGGAAAATAGTTTTACAGTTTCTTTAAAAAAAACAGAAACAAAACTAAACTAAACTTACCATATAACCCCAGCAATAGCACTCCTGGGTATTTATCCCAGAGAAATGAAAACTTATATTCACACAAAAACCTATATATAAATGTTCCTAGCAGATCTAGTCATGATTTCCAGAAACTGTAAACAACTTAGATATCCTTCAGTAACTTGATGATTAAACAGACTGGTACATGTCCACACCATGGAATACTATTTAGCAATAAAAAGTAATGAACTGTTGATACACACAACTATTTGGATGGATCTCAAGGCAATTATGCTGAATAAAAAAAAGTAAATCTCAAAAAGTTAGATATTACATGATTCCACTCATGTAATCCTCTTGAAATAACAAAACTGTACAGATAGAGAACAGATTACTGGTTGCCAAGGGTTAGAGATTGGGGTGGATGGGTAGTTCTAATGGATAGCCTGAGGAAGTCTTGTGTTGGAACAGTTATGTATCTTGATTGTGGTTGCGGTTACATGAATCTTCACATCTGATAACATTGCATAGAACTACATACACTCACATACACACACACACGTACACATGATTGCATATAAAACTGGCAAAATCTGAATAAGCTCTCTGGATTGTACCAATGTCAATTTCCTGGTTTTGATATTATACTATAGTTATATAGGATGGTATAATTGGGGGAAACTGAGTGAAGGCTAGATACACAGGATCTCTCTGTACATTTTTGTTTGCAACTTATTGTGTATCGATAATTATTTCAGTATAAAAACTTTTAAAGGCTTAATTAAAATTTTAAATTATTATAAAAATGACAAGTTATAAAAATAAAGGAATGCTTACATTTTCCCTAATTTTTATATACTTTTGGGTTATAGTTGACAGACCTTAAAATTTCATGTGTCAGCATGGTCTCACTGCCCGTGACTGGTCCTCAGCTTGCACCACGTGTGACTCGCCAGGCAAGTTCAGCAACACCCGAGCTGGTCTATATTCTGTTCTTCTGATGATGCTCCTCGGTGCTTTGCCACTATCACATTGCCATAAGAGTTTCTAAGCACTTACTGCCAGTTTCTGGACTCACTGTGGATTAGCAACAGCCGTTTGCGGACCTGCACCAGCTCAGCGACCACGCTAGGTAGTGCTGGTCTCCGTGCACAGAATCTGGTTTGGGGCCAACTGTTGCTCAGCGTCTCCATTTGAGTTGAGAGGGCTTTTTATATGAGAAACAGCTGTGTTACCATCGTGGCCAGAAAATGTCTTCTATGCTTCAGACCTTTCCAGAATTATAATGCTGCTTTAAGTTCTCCCTTTGGAGAACAGAAAAGTATACACAGGGGCAAATTTGTTGTTATTTCGTTTGGAGAGCATTTCTTGTTATAAATGATTGCTTCCTGCTTTTTCCTGGAAACCCATTTAAACAGGTCATCCTTATCCATTAGGCTAGGTTAAAAATAGTACATTTTCTTATGACTGAAAATGAGACCTTTCTGGTTAAATCTTGACATCTCTTTTACTGGAAAGAAGTATGGAGTACTTACTTGGCAATCTGAGTTCGTGTTTTCCCTTATATGGATAATGCAAAATTACTGTCATCCCGTTGCAGTTCAGCATCAGCGACATAGTGGCTCAAATGAGAGAACAACGTTATGGCATGATTCAAACGAAGGTAAGCTCCCACCACATAAATTCTAATAGGGAGAAGAATGAATAGAAAGATTAACATTGTATGTATAGCACATTAAACCTTATAAAGCTCTTTCACCTACATGATTTCATTGAATCCTCACTGTTTGAGGTAGACCTTAGTTTTGCTCTGAGATTGCCGATGACGTACTTCAAGTTCAGAGCAATGCAGTCTGTTCCATAAGGTCATTCAGGTGCCAAGTGGAGGAGCCAAGACTGAAACTAAAGTCTCCTGATGCCCAAACACATGCTTTGTCCATAATGCCATGTTGTTTGAGTAACATACCTAAAGTCATTTTTCATAAATTTCTGGATGGCAATTTAGGGATCTTGACTCGCCACTAAAATATCCAAGTCAGCGGCATGTCATAACAGGATACCGTTTATGTCACAGATTAGTTACTAATCATTGGGAGAGGGAGGTCAAGAGAGTATGGATGATGAAAACAAACAGGTCCCTAATCTTTAGGTTGACTTGTTTTTAGGCCAATGTTGAACGATATGAAGTGTTTTATTTGAACTGAAGTTGCCTGAGAGACCTGAGGCTGCATCTAAAAAAATTTTTTTAATTTGATTTATCCAGGGAAGATGTAAGGAGATGGAGATTGAGAATCAGTTAACCCTCTGTTCAGTTAAGCCTTCAGAAGCTAGTTCTAGACCAAGAACTATATTATGATAACTTATCTTCTTGATATTTTAAAATATGTATTTACATAAAGAAGTTCTTGGTTGGTTAAATGTTTGCTCTTTTTAGGAACTTTCCTTTGTGGTTGAAAATTACAAGTGTGTTCTCTGAAAGTGAATATTCAATTACTTAACATTCTATTGTTTTTCATATATGTGTATGTAGGAGCAGTATTGCTTTTGTTATAAAATTGTGCTTGAAGTTCTTCAGAAGCTTCTGACTTTCCATTAAGAAAGACTTCTGTTGCTTCACACTTGAAATTACCAAGTGGAGCCTCCTCATAAAGAACGCGTTCGAGCTGTGCTGAAGGGCTTTGCTTATGGGTACAATGTGCTTTCTTGGTGTCTCATTTCATCTTCTTTCTGGCAACTCCCTGAAGGCAGCATCATTTGGTTTGGGATGAACAGTGTGTACCCCTTGATCTTACTTAGGTAACATCAAAATACCCTCCCACATTTACCAATGAAACAAAAGTTACATAAAACAACTGCAGCCTATTTGGTTGAAGGGATTACAGAGCCCACAAAAGGACTTAAACTATATTCATTAACATTTTATTTGGAAAGATAGCTAAAGGGAGCTGAGGATTTCCAGGACCTTATAAAGCCCTTATTCTGGGAGAATGTAGGGCCAGTAAACTGCAGGATCATAGCATGACCTCTTACCGGTATTTTCAAGACAGATACTTACCCATGTTTTTTAGCTAGTCTGTACTTTTAGCTGGTATTTAAATAACTCAGTTCACTAACGAGTCCAATTATGGTGGATTAACTTTCTACGCAAATTGGATTCCATTTTCCTTTACTTCCATGCTTCCGTGGGGCCACGGGGACCTCAGAGGACGAGCTGCCTTTCTAGAGCAGCTGGACAAGGACCTGTTGGTCTGGGAAGCATGTCATGGGTGGGCAGAGCTCCTCCTCTCCATTACATGAGCACACTGGTGAACCGTTCAAAATTAAAATAGGTGTTTATAGAGAAAGGCCAAGAGGAAAACTTTGCCCAGCTTGAGTTCTTTCCTATTCCACCCTAACGCTTAACATGTTACTCAGTCTGCTTTGTTCAAAGCAAATATTACATTTTACTTGCCTCTTACTCTTTGCCCTTGAGCTAACCAATAAACTTGGATATAAGCATTATTATGTAATTCTGAGTATCTCTTATGCCAGATATACTTTTCAAACTAAGATCTACGATAGTTATTTTATTTCTTCAGAGTTCTATTAAATCATTTCTTTCCATTACTGCCCCATCTCTGCTGTAACATTTAGAAGTTGGCTTTGGGAACCAGATTTTGGAAAACCAAATTCATAGTTGTAAAAACGAAAACTTCTATGTTCTGTTTTTGAAAAGATGTGGCCATTATTACATTCATCTTATTATAGGACTTTGCCTCCTACAATTAGTGATATTTTGGTCAAGGAATTTTAGTGGCCAGTTATACTTGATTATTAGCTATAAAGCAATTGATACATGTCTTTGTATAGTGTAATTCAGTGGAGATCAGAATATTCTATGTGTTATATTGAGAAAATTTCTAATATTAATCTATAAATCTTGAATTTTTAAGAGGCTTATTTTGTTCCCTTGGCTGAATGAATACTTGAATTGGTTGAATTAAAATTGATAATTCTCATTTTAAAAATAATTATATGCCAGAAATGTATTTTATATTAAATCAAATTGATGATTCTATTTATTTACATTGTTCACATAAATAATAGTCTATGCTAAACATTAATTTAATTTTGATGATTGGCCTTTAATATCTGTATCCCTAATTTTATTTTCTCTCTGTTATTGTAAAATAATAGTGTAAAACAATATTCCTGAGAGGGGCTCTATGCAAGGTTTACTATGTATTGCCTGAATATTTTTATTTTCTGGGCCTTGAAGTGTTCTTGTAAAGAAAATTTCCACAATTCTTGATGGTAAACATTTTTCTTCTTTAGTGTGTGCCTCATATTGGGACTAATTTTTAGTTTTTCAGGGAAATTAGATAAGTAAATATGGAAGTACTGATTGCATTTGTTTTTATTTCATTTTTAGAAAGTGAATTTCAAGTTAAAAACTTGTGACTAATTGAAATACTAAGTTTCATACCAACAATAAATCAGTTTTTGTGTAGGATATGAATATGAAACTCCCGTCAACACCTTTCTGAGTATATGAATGCTTATTTAGAGGAACTTCTTAAATATTTAGATATAAGCATATATTCATTTATTAACTTTCAACTTTAAATACATATTTTTAAAGTTATATGAGCTTGGACCAAAGCTTTTCAGAATAAACATTGTAGGTTTTATTCTCATACAAGTCTTACTAATTTATTTTTCTTTGGACCTTTCACCTCCAGTCTATCTAGAGCATTATTGAATTTTCAGTTAAGTTTACATTTACTACTCAAAGGTCATTTCAGTAATTTATTTTTATTGAAAAATCTCGAAGGAAAACACCTTAAATAACTCTAAAACAAAAAAGTTTCATTTCTTACTTAATTTTTCTTAATCCCTGGAAAAATTAATTTTCTTCTGTGTTGTCTTGAGGTTCAAGTAATTGAACCAGAAGATTTGGAAAGTATCCATTAAGTAAAAACAGGTCAGTGGAATTCAATGGAGGTGATGGGTTGCTCAGTGGAAGACTCAGTTTGTCTACAGCCACAACCAAAAAGCAGTAAGTAATGACCTCATAATGAAACGATTTGAATTAGAAGTGATCTTAAAAGATATCTAATACAACCATCCTATCTGAAACTTGAACGTGGTAAAGAACATTTTTTAGAAACTAATAGCAACATCATATTTGGAGGTGAAAAAATAGAGACTCATTAACAAAACAATACCTTCTGTTAGCACTATAGTTAAGTATTGCTCTAGGGTTATCTAGCCAATGCAATAAGACTACAAAAAGAAATAATTGGTATAAATATTGGAAAGTTAGAACAAAATGATCTTCTATTTGTATATTTGCCCACATAGAAATAATAGACTCAACTAAAATATAGTACTAGAAATTCATTACGAAGTCTAGATACAAGATAACTATGTAAAAATTAATCTTTCTCTATATCAGGGATCAGCAAACTATGGCCCACAGGTCAAATCTGACCTGTTGCCTGTTTTTGTAAGTAAAGTTTTATGCCCATTTGTTTACATCTTGTCAGTGGCTGCTCTTGTGCTACAGTGGCAATGGCCAAGTTAGTAGTGGCAGAGATCATAAGCCCATATGGCCTAGAATATTTACCATCTAGCCCTTTAAAGAAAAAAATCTGCCAATCCCTCTTCTATATCTTCAGTAGGAAAAAAATCTCTGAGCAACAGGGATATATAAAATATATAAAGCACTTAAGATTAAATTTACCAAGAACTTGACCAGTTGATGCTCACATCCTAAATGAGTAGTAAATACATGTAAAGAACCAAGATATTTTTAAAAAAGAAAAGTTAATTGTGGGGAAGGAAGAGAGGGTACCTTAGCAATAATCAAAGTATTGTCTAAAGTCATAGTAATTAAAACAATGCTTCTGGTATAGGGATACCAGTTCCATGGATCAATGGAGCAAAATAGTCAAGAAATAGACTTAACAGACTCACATATATTTGTGAATTTATTGTATGCTTTGGCTACTTTTAAATAGCATTTCAAATCCAGAGCTTCAAAATATATGAAGCACAAACTGAAAGAACTGATAAAACTAGAAAGATAGACAAATCTATAATTATAGTTGGATATTTCACCATTCCTCTCTCAGTAATTGACAGAATAAGTAGACAGAAAATCTGTAAGGATATAAAAGATTTCAATAACACTATCAAGCAGCTTGACCTAATTGACATTTATAGAACACAGCACCAAACTACAGCAGAATACACATCATTTCCAAGTGCACATGGAACATTCACCAACAGAGATTATATTTTGGGTCATAAAATAAGTCTCAATATAATTCAAAGGATAGGAACTATAAAGTATGTCTATGGAATTAACTAGAAATCAATAACATAAAGATATTGCAAAAATTCCAAAATATTTGGAAATGAAACAGTGTTCTTCTAAATAACCTATGAGTCAAAGAACAAAATCACAAGAGAAATTAGAAAATATTTTGAAATAAATGAAAATGAAAACACAACATATCATAAGTTGTGGGATGCAGTGACAAAGTTTAGGGGGAAAGTCATGCTCTTGGTTTGGGCCATGCTGAATTTGTTACACCTGTGGGACCTCCAAGCAGTTCTACATGTCTGATGTTAAAAAGATTCCTGAGCTGAAGACCTAGATCTGGGGGAATGTTTGCCTTGAAGGTGATGCTTGAAGGCATGGGAATGGATGAGCTCCCCTAAGAAAGTGAGATGGAGTCCAAGGTCAGAGCCCTGGGGAACATCAAAATTTATTCCTACCTTGACTGCCTTTCATGGCCCAGCCTAAGAGCCACCTCTTCCATGAAGCCTCCTAACACTCATCTCTCCCTCCTTTGATTTCTACATCAGTGCTTCTCAAACTCTGTGGTGAAGGACCCATTTTATTTTCAAACACATGGACCCAAAAATAGCCAAAATAGGCAACAGATATTTACTAGAAAGTGTAGTGGGATAATTTGAGGACAGCAGCTGAAACTGGATGAGTATTGCCATCATCCACTTCAAAAGGGAATAAGTACAAGGAGTATTTTTGTAAGGCCTAAAGGGTTGGAGCAGTCTAGTTCCTGTCTACTGTAAAAGCTGACCAGCCAAGACTCCTTTCCAGAACAGAGTCCCACACTGAGGAGAAACTATAGGATCAAAATTGAGCAGAAGGGATAATAGGGATGAAGGAAAGAGAAGGTCCATATAAAAGTGAGTGAGGTCCATATAAAAGTGAGTGAGGGGATCAGAAACAGAAAACCTCAGAAGGCAAGCTCAAGGAAGTTATGAGAGCTATCTGAACAAGCCACCTAAAAGTTCAGGAAAACTAAATTCACATAAAAATGAGCAATAGAAAAGTATGGTGATCAAATCCCATACAAGTTACTGTAAGAAAGACTAAGGAACTTAATAGCCTCCCTACAGACAGTGAGGCTATACCAGAAAGACATGCTCAAAAAACAGATCAAACTATAACCTAGTATTTCAAAATGAGCTTAAAGACATTGGAAAAATTACGTCAGACACAGAAGGACAACAAAAATCAGAATTAGAAAAATTCAAAATGGTATGACAAATCAAGAAAGAAACAAAAAAATTTAAGAAATGAAGACTAAACTAGAAGGAGCACAAGTGAATAAACACAATACCTGACACCTTAAATTTACCGAGCAAGGGCTCACTGCCCCATGCACATAGAAGCCAATACTACAGCACTGGCTTTTGATAGAAGAAAGATCTTTATTGCAGGGTTGACCAGAAAGGAGACAGGAGGCAGGGCTAAAATCTGTCTCCCACAGCTGAAGTGGGGATGGCCTTTTAAGGAGTTGGGAATGGGGGTGGTTATGCAAAATGCTAGCTTGGCGGAATCTGATTGGATGGTGGGAGTGTAAGGATCTTAATAGTCCAGTGTGCTACAAATCAAGGGACCCTTTCCTTCTTGTTAAGTTCCCCATGTTGCTTTCACGTCACATTGAGTTCTGTAGTTAGGGAGCTTTTGGTTCCTAGGTGGCTTAAGGTCATCTGAGGACAAGGTTTCCATCTTCTACACAGGCTCTAGCTCTGTGACTTGTAGCTTTTGCTTATTGCCCCTGCAAGATAACTTCGGTATTTTGTTATTGATACAATAGAGCCAGTATGAATTGGTCTATAATGGTTACATTAAGATAAAGAAAAGGCTTAAGATGAGGAACATTTTCAAAACAAAATGAAGAAAGAAAGCAGAACTTGAGAGCATGGCAAATATCAATGATAGGCAAAGAAGACTAACATATAGATAATAGAAGTTTTAAAGAAGGAAACCAAGACAAAGGTACAGAACAAATATAGTAAACTATAATTCAAGAAAATATTCCTGAAATAAAAAAGATTTAAAACTACATATTGAAATATTACAGTATGTACCTGAGAATATCAAATGAGAATGACCAATGCCAAGAAATTATCTAGTGAAATTTGAAGAAAAAAATCTTTTGGGAATCTATGAGGAAAATAAAATTAGATTATTATCAGGCTTTTTGAAAGTAACACTTTATGACAGAAAAAAATGGAATAATGTATTTAAGATTTTCAAGGAAAGAAAACAAGAGCCAAGGATTTTAGAT